CTAGTCGCTTCATGCTACAGAAACCGGGACAAGCTACGGCCTGATGGGCCACTTGGCTCGCATGCAGACTTTACCTATATCGCTGAAGATTTTCATATTGTGGTCACGTGTCTAATGACGTCATAATCTTGACGATAGTAAAAATTCAAATGGGGTGAGAATGGTTAACTTAATCCAAGTATCAGATATCAGCTATTCTTTGCCATAACTCAAGAAACTATCCGTGGCATGAATAGTGAAATTTTTATTCTCTTGAAATAATGCACCAGTAGACTGCAGAATCCCCAGAACTCCCTTCCCCCGTCGGGCATGAACGGGGTATTCACTTTTATGCAAGTAGAAGCAATTGAAGACCCCGCTCCCCGGGCTCGGAAGTGACGTCCGATATGGGTGTCTCGCCACAAGTACGCAAAAGGAATAACACTCCCTACTTTCTTCCCTTCCTATTTCGAAGGAGGTATTTTTATCTCAGCCTCCTTCCCTTCCAATCTCTCCCTAAGGTTTTCCATTCCATGATGTTTTAGGTTATATTAGCCTGAGTTAAGCTTAAATGAGGATTGGTCAAACCGCTAGCTGGTGTTTGGGTTGTTTTGCTTTTTCGCGTTCTATCATTTTAAAACGGTTATTAACGCCTTCAATCAATTTGAAATTTGAGCAACAACCAGAATATTCATAACCATCGTTTTGAGCGTTTTGTCAACAAACCTTAACATATCCCCCGATGCACTAACACCCTTGCTAAACCCGTCATATGTTTATTGTCAGTTGGTATGTAACATCTAAAAGGTCTATAAACAGACAAAGGAGGAACCAGTACGCACACAATAGCTTGGCATGAAAAAGAGGATCGAGAACGGCTAGTAATGACTATTGTAGTGCAGCCAAATGTTTTAAAGAAAGTTTAATTTGACAAGCCAAGGTTAACTTACATATGTGAAACACTCAATCCTTGAACGCCTCTTCCGTTTGAAGTCCAAACGTTTCATTCTTAAACTTTGTGTTTGGACGTTTACCAGTGTACACTGTTTGTGTCATTCTTGCGACCATAGCTTCTACCTCCCACAGATAGATCCAAGATTAGCTGTTGCTTTAGATTACTCTATTTTTCTAGTTTTTAATTGGTTAATCTCTGCTTGCCTATCAAATCAGCTGCGTTCGTGTAGGATTTACATCAGCGTGCTTTGTTTTGTACCTCCTGTTTTCCCTTGGCTTGAGTCCCAGACGTAGGCAGAGTTAACATAACAGTGAGTGCATTGTAAAGATGCATAATGAGTAGAGAATATAGAAGTAGTGGACAACGTAAAAGTCCAGAATATTAAAGATTAAGTCTCAGAGTCTCGATACTCCTTGTTGGTGACCAGTTAGCCCCCTTCAATCGTCGTGGAGAGCCCAGCGTTTGAACCGAAGACTTGTGATTGAACAGTGACTTTGTTCTAGGTGGCCTCCCCTTGCAAGCTCGGCTCGAAAATGTAGTTCGTGTAGTTTATTTCATGGTTAAGTAACTAGGTCGCTATTTAAGCTGTGGTTTTCCGAAAAATTTTGTAAGAGTTCGGTACTTTTACATTACAGTGGTCACTAGTGGCATTTGGTTCTTTTAAGTAAATTTTATTTTATTTTAAGCTGGTGATTGCTACGCACTGATTACTTCGCACATTCAAGTTAAATCGAAAAGTCGTTTCGATTCTGTAAAATTTGTATATATGGCATGACCTGTAGTTTCGTGCTTTGTGAAAAACCACGTATACACCACAGACAAAAACGAAACGCTCGATCCAGTGCCACAAAGCGTGCAGGCTTTTTACATCTCGAATAGCTCAAAATTTCCTTCCCTGGGTGTGTCGTCGATCAAAGCTACAGCCTTCATTCGAAAAACGGCGGCATCTGTGAAGTGATCTAACCTAATGAAGAAAAACGCTGGGCATGGTTGCAAAAACGAACTTAGCAAGAAATTCGGGAAATAACGAGTAAGGTTCAAGAGGATAAGAAAAATCCAAAACAAAATTGACATTCGGCGTTAAAACTGCTTTTAAAAAAACACACAATGACAACCACACTGAATGGTCCATTTTCTCCGTTGCTCCACGCAGCAGAGCAGTTAAGGACTACAAATAATTTACAATCCACTTGGTCCACGAAGAAACTGTTAGTTCACTTTCCAGTGTTTACAGGCTTGGAGCGTGAAGATGTACATGAGTTTATAGAAAATGATGAACGTGCCTCACTTTTTAATGAAATAAGTGGATCCAATTTAGTTTTGGGACTTCCATTGTATCTCAAAGGGCATGCTAGCGATTGGTTTAGAACTTTGGAAGGTCGAGACGAAATGCCTTTCGATGAATTGTCTTTCACGCTAATTCCTCATTCGTCATTTCCTGGTTAATAAGAACGAACTTCTCACCAGTTTATCTTTTCTTTCTTTTTTAATAAAGCATCCAAAATGTTTACAATGATATTACCTGCCTACCCGCTATGAAAACTTGAAGCATAAAATACCTGGTATTATTTATTCATAAAAACAAATAAAAGGCTATTGCAAATGCGTAAAGACTACATGGCTCCAAAATCGTTTATTAAAGCTATCTAAGAATTTGATTAAAAGCGATGGTTACAATAGCTTTTAAGTATCTGTAGGTAAAATTACGTCGTTTACGTCATTTAACGTACCTCAATTCGCAATTAGCAAATTCAGAATCCTTGTCGTTTGCTCTGATATCCCGTGATATCAAGCCACTGACCTGGTATGGCTACTTTCATGGTGGAATTTGGAGTACGGTAAATATCTAATTGTACCTAAATGGTTTGGTCGGCAAAATAGAGGCTCATTTAGTCTCTCCTTAGCTCAAATTCTTCTCGCCAAACTATAAACATGGCTGCCCCAAATTCGCCTGATATACTTTCTTACCAAAAAGATACGATAGTGTACAAAGATCGAAGTGTTATCCTACAGTCACTCCTGTCGAGAGCTACCTTAACTCATTATTTATTTAAATCTACATTTGTCCTATATAGGGTCTCTGACGAGACCGTATCAAAACTGAAAGTTAGCTGTCAAGTTTTTGAACCATAGCAACACAGAAAAAAAAACAAAAACTATCAAAATTCTAAGACCGTTCAATCAACCCATGAAAGATGAAATATATTTGAAACTGAAGAAGGCAACTTAAGCCAACTACCTGCACGCGTTAACAAGCAAGAATAAACGTAAACCTCGGTTCGCTAATATGTAAAGCAAATCGCAAACACAAATTAATATATGTGAACTATTTAGAAGTTCAATCGTAAGGCAAGGACGAACATAGGTAAATCTCTGTCTCACCCGCTGCCTTCTTGAACAAGTACTTCCGTGTCAATGACGCTGGTTTGCAGTACAATTTCTTCAAAACTCTGCGTCCTCTCTAACGCAGGTATCTTGACTAACTCAGCGGGTACAGTTTAAAATCATCACAATCATCCTATCTATCGACCGCAATCACCGACCAGCTGAACTTACTTTAATGCAAACCCGCAGAGAGATTTTCATAGCTGTGAAAAAACTTCATTTGCAAATTTTGGGCCGCCTCTCTTGAGTTTCACGAAGGTTTCTAGTTATTTATAGATATCAAAGGGAATCATATTCCAGTTACTTAGCAACAAGTTTAGTACTGTTGAAAATTTGCGACACCAAACGGTCAAGGATCGCACTTGTGAACAGGTTTTCTCATATTTCCTTCCTTTTTCAAGGAAATCATTGAATAGAGTTGTCAGCCGAGACATCATCGGCTTGAGGAGAAACAAAAAGCGACAAAAGCTGATATTTACTAGTACAATAACTTTGCGTGTGCTACTGGCGTAAACGTGCATTTCTTAGCCGTTTTGTGCAAAGCAAGAAATTCTGGGTTTTGGTATGAACAGCTGTCGATCACAATCACAAAAATCTAAAAAGTTATTCATAAGGTTCCCACAGCCTTCGTGCATTACCACAGCAGATTCACGAGAACAATCAACCATTGTAAAACAATTTATGTCTTCTCACTGCACTTTCAGGAGAAAAGTAATCCAAATCTTGTTAGCTTTAGCTTTAAAACATCCTTCCTTAGTGCTGGAGTTGCGCTAATTCCCATATAAAACAAAATGAGCAATCGCGCGAGGACGGCTCTTTTTGAAGTTTTGTTCGGCGAAATTTGTCACAATTTTTTTACTGAAGATAACACAATGCATCACAGAGTGTGATGAGGACCGATCATAGGAAATCTGCTTCTAGTTATTTATCTTTAAAAAATTGTAAGGCGCACTTGTGTTTGCACCAACTGATGCAGTGATCAGCTGAGAAAACCCACCAAATGTACCAGACTTGTCCGCAAGTACGATCCGGCCCTAACAAAAGGTTACCTAAAACACGTTGTACTTAGTTACCATAAATGTGTACGTTATTATATCAGGAATCTGTACGTTTTCGGATTACGGTCACGAGAAAGATGAATTAAAGCTTGCTGATCAGGTAGCGATTTGAGGATTGCTGATAGCTCGAAATAAACTGAAATAAAGTGATAGCTCGCCATTGACACGTCATGTTGTCTTGTTCGTCTCAAACACTCTAAGATTTAAAGCAACAACTTCTAGGACATGAATTCTAACTTAGCCGCACGACTCTAACTACAATACAAACAACTTAAAGAAAAAAAAACAATCCAAACTTCTTTAGAAGATGCTACTCGTTGTTAGCATCTTCATCATTGTTAAGGACTTGCTCGTTGGTATAACCTAGATCTCCTTCAACCTGGTGTTTGTACATGTAGCATTCATCCAACTCTACCGCCTCACCATCCTTATGAGCAGCCTTTCCTTCTTTCGGAAAAACTTATCTTGGAAAGCAACACCTAAAAAATGCAAATGATATGGCGAAGACAATAATTTAAGAAATAGCACTTCACTACAACATTCCAAACAGGTTAATTAATACAATATTTCAATCTAAAAATATTTTTGGCGAATCTGTTTTACTAGGAAAAATGAAAAATGAGTCATTTTTTAGTTGTGAGGGCCATCTTTTAAGGTACATTTGGGCCTCTCTGCAGTCGTTGTAGGGGGGTGGTTAGGACCGATTTTATGACTAAAAAGAACAGAAAGATAAACAACTGGTAAAAGAGTTTTAATTTTCTCGCACGCGATGCCTGGCGTCACATGAGCGCGCACTTAAATAAAGGACATGCGCTATTCCATTCCCGCACAAGGCTGTAAAAACAATTAACCAATTGAAAACCTACCGTAAAAGCTATGGTGAAATTTTCACAGTTAAGTCTTACGAGTGTATCGCGTTCAGAGCCATTTTTTTGAAAAAGTCTTTGTTTTCAAATAATCTGCTTTATCGATTTTTCTTTCACTTTGGACGAATGTTTAACTAGAGCCAATTGCTAACTTTAAGGTAGGATCATACCGGTTGATTTTGAGAAAAACGTCATTAAACCTACTAGTGCCCAGTCTATCCTAACCACTCGGCATTTTGGCTGTTTATTAAGTTGTAAATTTGTTCAAGTACAACATGCAATGGTAAAAGAATTAAGAAAGCAGTAATTAGAGAAAGGGAAAACACCTGGGAACTATTTTCAAAAGAGTTTTAAAAACGTTGGGCTTTTATGGTTCATCAAAACTGCACTAAAACACCTTGAGACTGCAAAAGCTCTTTTAAGGTGGCTCGTACCAGTTTTCAGGATTTTGACGGCTCATAACTTTTCAAGAATAGAACAAAAAGGCAGACCAGGGCCAC